GAGCCCCCATGTTTCAGATGAGGAAACTGAGGCCCATATACTGTGTTCTCAGGGCAGCTGGGATGAGGGCCAGGCCAACAGCACAGATCAGACTTATTTGTTTTTAAATGAAATGTAAAATATTTCACACGTACCAAAGGAACTGTGGAGGCCGCCGCGGCGTGCAGGGTCCCTCAGGGAGGTTTCCGTGCAGCTGGGGCTGCTTCGTCCGCCTGCCGAGACGCACTCCCCAGGCTGTGGGAACCACTCTCCCTTAGCAGCTCTCAGATCATTGCTTCCGGGTTTGTGCTATTGATCAGGTTTTAAAGATAAAAGCAAAGCTATGAAGCTCACCCTGAGGGCCAGACTAAACATATCTGTGGGCTGATTTGGCCCTTGGGCTGCCAACTGCCACTTCTGTGAGCTCTGTGGACCTTGGCGCCAGACCAGTCAGCACCATGTACTGGCTGTGTGAGCCTCGGCGAGGCAGCGGCCTTCTCTGAGCCCTGGTTTCGCCATCTGTGAAATGGAGGTAAAATACTGCCTCTTCAGGGGACCGTCCGCACATTCAGTATTTACTGATGGAGACTGTGTGCTGGACATTGAGTGAAGACTACAGGGCAGGGGCACATCCCATGCAGGACCCCACTGAATCCTCCCTCCGGCCTCCAAGGGCTGTCGTGGTGCTGGGAAGAGACTGAGCCAGGATCCAGCCGTACTCAACACACGGGTCACCGCAGCAGACCCAGGAGGCCTGGGCTGAATGACTCTGGTGGTCCCACATGACCGAGGCACAGCAGCTCGTGACGAGCTGGTAGGTAGACTAGGGCTAAGTTGCCACGCGTCTTGAATGCCACACCAAGGTGCCTGATGTGTAGGAGGTGCTTAATACATGGTTTCCTTATATGAATGAATGGATGTGCAGCGGGGAGCCATGGGAAGCTCTTGACTTTGATGGGATGTATCTGTGCAGTGCTTAGCTTAGTGGCTGGCCCTGAGGTAGCAAGCGGGCATGGTGTCTCAATGGGCCTTCATGTAGCCGTGCTGGGGAGTTCACAGGCCCTGGCCTGATGGAAACGGAGTGGCTGGGTCAGTGTGGAGGTGTGTTCATGGGCACTGGTGTGTGAATGGGAGCTGCTGCCCCCTTCTGCTTGGGCTCCCTGCCTATAAAACAGGGGTGAGGACTTCCTAGTGGCACACTGGTTAAGAATCCGCCTGCCAACGCAGGGGACACGGGTTCGAGCCCTGGTCCGGGAAGATCCCACATGCCGCAGAGTAGCTAAGCCCGTGTGCCACAACTACTGAAGCCCGCGTGCCTAGAGCTCATGCTCCGCAACAAGAGAAGCCACCACAATGAGAAGCCCGGGAAGAGCCCACATGCCGTGGAGCAACTAAGCCCGCGAGCCACAACTACTGAAGCCCGCGCGCGGAGCTTGTGCTCCACAAGAGAAGCCACCGCAATGAGAAGCCCGCGCACCCCAACGAAGAGTAGCCCCCGCTCGCCACAACTAGAGAATCCGCGCACAGCAATGAAGACCCAATGCGGCCAAAAATAAATAAATAACGGGTGATAAAAATAAACAAATAAATAAATTTATTAAAAATAATAATAACAGGGGTGATAATAATGCTCCTTTCCTGTCGGGGGGTACTTCGAGAGTGGACGAGGCACATCCTTGCCCGGCCCGGTGCCCAGAGGGTGGGTAATCTTCACCTCAGGACCATTGCCTGGGTCCCTGTGTGGTGCCCCAGGCTGGGCAACCAGGCTCTGAGGAGTGGCTGCCATGGGGTGGGGACCCACTGGAGGAGCCCACGGGGGACGAGGTGATGGCCAGTGAGGATGGGGAAGTCGGCGAGTCGGCTATCTTTAGCTCCTTCCCTCATGGCCCTTTTCCTCTGCCTGGCGGCGTGGGGCGGGGGCAGGCGCAGGCAGCGGCCGGGAGGGGCTACTTCTCCATAGTCACATGAGGCCCGGTGGCCCAGAGGCCAGCTGCGGGGCTGGGACAGGAGGAGGTGGGGCCGGCTGTGGTACCTGGCTCCCCCACCCTGACCTGTCTGCTGGCAGCCCTTAGGGTAGCGTCCCCTGGTGCCCCCATCTCTCAAGCAAGCAGGGGCCCAGGGTGTGCGCCTACAAGAGGTGGCGGGCGAAGGAACATTGGTGCCCCGGTGGCTGCTGGGATGAGGTGTCCCTCCTGCTCCTCATTGGGAGCCTCCAGGACCCAACTCGGTGGGGGAAGTGCGGTGCAGTGGTTAGCGCTGAGCTGCTGGTGCCTGGATTTGACTCTCTGCTTCAGCACTCCTGAGTGAGGGGCCGTTGCTTGGTCTCTCCATGCCTCTGTGTCCTCATTGTGCAAACAGGAGTGTCAACAGGAATCTGGACTCACGACTCACGGGGCTGTCATGATCACTCAGTGAGACACAGCACCTAAGATGCCTGGCAGAGTATATTCTAGCTCTCTGACCTGGGAGGATTCTCTGAATCTCTCTGGGCCCCCATTTTCCCCATCTGTGAAATGGGAATAGTGATTGCAAGGATTAAATAAGATGGCTTTGAAAGGGTCCAACACAATGCTTGGCACACAGTAGGTACTCAACAAATAAGCACCCTTGGGGACTTTCCTGGCAGTTCTGTGGTTAAGACTCCATACTTGCACTGCAGGGGGCATGGGTTCAATCCCTGGTCGGGGAGCTAAGATCGCGCACGCTGCACACGCGGCCGAAGAAACCAAAACCAAATAAGCACCCGACTCTCTCCCTTGAGCCAAAATATACTTTCCTGGCCCCTAGTACCATAGGTTCAGGGTGAAGTAATGCCCGGGCTCAACTCCCAGCCCTGCCAGTTATACACTGTGTGCCCTTGGGCAAGTGGCTCACTCTCTCTGAGACTCAGTTTCTTGTTTATAAAATGGGGTAATAATAGAAGCTGCCCTCAAGGGGTGATCCTGAGTATTGAGTTTATATATATAAAGTACTTAGGACAGTACCCAATAGGTATAAGGTATTCACAATTACTACTACCTGTCAGCCTGGGCACCACCCTCCAGAGGCATTCAAAGTCAACATGAGCGCTTGTTATCAAGGGCCAGGGGCAGGTGAAGTTGGGCCCTGGGCAGCATTGTGAGTCCAGGGGGCCGATGGGTGCCAAGGACACAGGTCATTCAGACATTTAATAGTTCTGATGTATTAATAGGCCCTGGAAGTTTCCTGGATGCCACCTCTCTCATTCCTGGGCTCATGGATGTTGCTTTCTTGCCTCCAAGAGTTCGGGTCAGGCCCCTCTCCTCTCAGGGGTCCAGACCTGGCTTCAGAGCCTCTGCTGAAAGGACAGGGAGAGCTATTTGGGCTCCTGGGAGCAGCCCAGGAGTCCGGACCCCGGGAGGCACACGATACTTGTGAGGTCGGCAGGTCCCGAGTGCCAGCCTGAGTGCCAGAACGTCGCATGCAGGGCAGGGGCACCACAGAAGCTTCAGACAAGTAGCTTCCTGCCAAGAGCTGATGGGAGGAGGGTGAGGCCGCCGGAAGCCAGGGCTGGGCCCCCCCGCCGGGGTGGGGGGACAGGGCTGGAGGCTTTGGGGGATGAGGACTGAGGGGCGAACACGCAGCCCCCACTGGCAAGGCTGTCAGTGAGGATCGGGGGAGAGCACTTTGGGGTGAACCCTTGAGGTGGCAGCAGGCTGTCCACCCCTCCATCCCCCAAGGCCATCCCAGGTAAGCTCCTCGAAGTCACTGGCTCTGCCTTTTACGGCAATGGTGGCTCCTGCCACCTCCCTGTTCCCACGTGCTCAGAAATTCCCAGCAGGTTTGTTTTTTTTTTCCAGGAGGAATGTAATGAGGCTCCTTGTTCTGTCACCACAGGATCCCGGAGAGGTCTGTCTGGGGATTCTGGTGACAGGAAGCACACACCGCCAGGCACTTGGAGATGCACTCTCTGTGACACACACAAACAAGGTCCACAGGAGGCCCAGACCGCTGCCCAGCCCACCACAGGCCCACGGAAATGCCTGGGGACCCCCTCATGGGACACCCAGACATACACAAGAATGGGCGACTCCCAGAGACCCTGGGAACAACATTTACTGAGCACCTACTATATGCCAGGTCCTGGCTATGGAGGCGGGGCTGGGGGCGGAGCCGGTGCCACCTTCGTGGAACTCACTCAGCTGCCTCCCTCAGGAGTTCAGATCTGAGCCCCAAAGCCTCATTCCCACCTCAGGGCCTTTGTGCCTACTGTTCCCTCCGCGTGGGATGTTCTCCCCTTAGAGCTCCACCAGGCTGCATCCTTTTACACCCTCAGGTCTCAGAAAGGACTCCTCTGCACCATCACTCGGCATCCCAATGTCCTGTCTTATTTCTTCACAGCATTCATCACTTTTTTTCTAAGCGCATTTAGGGGAATTCCCTGGCGGTCCAGTGGTTAGGACTCCGTGCTTTCACCGCCGTGGACCCGGGTTCAATCCCTGGTCAGGGAACCAATATCCCGCAAGCCACGCAGCGTAGGCAAAAAAAAAAATCTTTTTTTTTAAGTAAAAAATAAAGTGCATTTACTATGAAAGTAACTTTCTCAATGTCCATAATACAGATGCACTTCCACAATCCAATATACAACTCAAAAAGTTTTACAGCCCGGGCTTCCCTGGTGGCGCAGTGGTTGAGAGTCCGCCTGCCGATGCAGGGGACACGGGTTCGTGCCCTGGTCCGGGAAGATCCCACATGCCGCGGAGCGGCTGGGCCCATGAGCCATGGCTGCTGAACCAGCGCGTCCGGAGAAAAAAAAAAAAAAAAGTTTTACAGCCCAAACTTATATTCACTAAGCTTCCAATTTGAATGAAGTCTAAAATATACAAATCAGGGCCCTGACCATACAAAAGGATAATATTCAAAGAAAGCTCAGTTCAGAATCATTCTGTTTTTGGATCCACAGCCACTTTTGTAGTAACTAGACTTAACAGTAATATAATTCTAATGAAGAAAGTTAAATCAGGGATCTCTAAATTCTGACCCACATCTACCACCAATGACTCAGATGTTTCTTTCTAATGAATTAACCATTTCATGCATAAAGTTCTGAAATGGCCAACAGACCACAGGAACTTTACGCTCCTGCTTAAAACCAAAAGCTTCAGCAAACTGCTGGCCTTAATTCAGGGCGAAAGCGTTATCATTTGTATTACCCAAATATTATCTTAGCAGACCAATGCTTTCTTTCTTACTTTTGGCCACAGGGCATGTGGGATCTTCAGGGATTGAACCCACACCCCCTGCAGTGGAAGAGCAGTCTTAACCCCCTCATCACTTCTGAAACTGTCTTGTTTGCCTGTGTCTCCTGTCTGCCCTCCCCAACTAGAATAAATGCTCCTTTAGAGAAAGACCTTCGAGTTCAGCACTGCTTCCCCAGCACCTGGAAGAGTGCTCTGTCCACCGCGGTCGCTCAGGTTTCTTGAGAATGAAGCTGATCCCACACGTGGTTGAGCTTTCCGCTGCCCCTGGAAGCCCAATTACTCGTCCTGACCAGTTCCAGGCGTTCTGTGCACGCGCTGGGGCTGTCTTCCACACTGGGTCCCATAACCACCACCTCTGAGGTGGCCAGTCACCACCCAGATGAGGCTGAGGCTCAGATCTGTGACCTTGGGTGTGCCTCAAAGCACTCACTGGCCAGGGGCAGGGCGGAAACGAGGATGGGGACGTGGGGATGGTCAACAGATAAGGGCTCAGCCCTTGTCAAGCAAGCCTGCCCCTGAAAAGGCTCTTTGTGCACATGTCACATGAGTGGGGACATGAGCGTGTGCTCTACCTGTGCTGTTGGAGGCACATGTGCACACCCTCAGCCTGTTCTCTGGACCCACATCCCGAGTCATCCTGGCCATACCTACAACTGGGCAGAGTCCTGAAAGGGAGTGAGGCCCAGCCAGGACGGCTCAAACCAGCAAAGCCTTTCGTACCTGGGCTGGGTGGGCAGCTGGGCTCCAGGGCTGGCCTAAGGGTTTGGGGAGGCCCACAGGCTAAGAGGCCAAGGGCAACCAGGATGAGTGAGGGGATGCAGTGGGGCCACTGCCCAGCTCAGCACCCTCCCCAGGATATGACTGGACAGAAGTTCCCACAGTGAAAGGAACCCAGACCAGGAGCCCAGCTCCCACGCCTAGATCTGCCACAGGTGCCTGGTGGCCTTGGGGCAGGTCCTGACCCCCTCTGGCTGTGGGCTTGACTCCCAGGATTATGGGGCATCTGAAGAGACCCCGGTTGGGGAAGGGATTCTGCGCCCCCCGCAAAGCCCAGAGGTCCTCCTGCAGGGCTGCCCCAAGCGGGTGCTGCCCACTCTCGCCCCCTGGTGGCTCCAGCCTGAAGTGCAGCTCTGGCCAGTCTAGGCCTGGATCCTGAGCCGACGCGTGTTGCATGGGGTGGCAAATTGGCCCAGAAGTTGGCTTTGAGGCCCACTGCCCCACACAGAGGTCAGAAGGGACTCCAAAGAAGTGGGCAGACAGACGTTGTGAAAGGGTCCCGCGCCAAGGGCTCTTGCTCAGCCCCTCCAGACCTCAACCAGCCTCTGCCTCAGGGCCCACATGTAATTCCTGCAACCTCCTCTGTGCCTTGACTGGACATCTTAGGGCCTCACGCGAGATATGAGGATACCATGCTCATAGGGAACCAGAGGTTCAACTCGGCCACCTCCAGTCATCTTGAGACAGCACCATAAGTATGGGACCTCCATCTTTCCCCAGCTATCACTACCCCTTTCGAAGAGGAAACTAAGGCTCAGAAGACGCCAGAACCCAAGTGATTGATTGGTGGGCAACCAGCCGTCTGCCAGAAGACCGGGCAGGGCTATTGGCGCTGCTGCAGCTGTGCTCTCTGCCCTCCGCTTAGGTGGGGCTAAGGCAAACACACCACACGGGCAGATGTGACGTGGGGAGCAGCTGCAGCCGGAAGGGGGATAAGCGGGGGCATCTTGTACACCTGGAATGCCAGGGACTGGACTGGGGTTCAGCCACCCCACCAAAGGGTGGGCCAGACATCACAGGACTGGACGCTGGGCTCTAGCAGCCAAGCTCTTACCAGCCTACATGATGCAGGTGCACAACATGGCACGGGACCGGGGGCTGAGCCAAGTTACCAAAGCAGACCTAGACCAGAATGGAAATTGGGGTTCAATGACCTCACCCAGCCAGGTGAGTCTGGTCAAGGCACTCGACCTCTGCCGGTCCACATTCTCACCTGTTTTAATGAAGTCCTGGTTAATCACCAGGGCTTTCCTCAAAGCAAACATTCCAGTGTTTTCCCGAGTCCCAGGTGCCATTCAGGGCTTCTACATGACACCCTCTCCCATGGCCAGAACTCTGCCGCTGGCTACAGAAGAACCTCCACAAGGCCTAACTGGAACCCCTCCTGCATGGATTAGTGACTAAATTAGTGACTAAATTACACTCAGCAGAGAGCCAGGCTCTGCCCTGCCCTGCCATGCCCATGGGCAACAGCAACACCAGATCCTTCCTCACTGCCTCCTTCCAAGCTGCACAGACACAACTTCTACAGCAGAGACCCAGCTTCCTCGCCCTGTGACAAACATTTCACACAGAGCTCACTCCCCAGGCTGGCCGTACAGTGCAGGGCAGACCAGGCTGGCTGGCTCTCGCCTCCCGCTTCACCTAGTCTGCTCCAAGCATGGGGCCCAGCAAGTGGCAGGGGAAAGAGGCAACCAAAGAGGTTGCGGGGACAGCACGCCCCTGGGAGCATGAGGGCCGAGGGAGGCAGCCAGGACCGGGAAGGTGAAGTACAGGCAGATGGATGTCACTGGAAAATAACTTTATTGAGATTCTACCAGCCGTATAATCCGTTCTGACATTAGGCCCCTTCTTCCTTTGCAATTCGGTCCTTCTTAAGTGGTCCCTGTGGAGAGAAATGCAGCAGGCAAGGTTAGAGATAGAAGGCAGTTAAGGATAACCGCCAACCGCAGTGCCATCAGATTCCGGGCTGGTCTCCACAGCCCGGGGCACACACAGGCACAAGGTGGCCCCTCTGCATCAGTACCAGATGGGCAGGCTGACAGGTGACAGCAGCTGAAAGCCACCCCCACCCCAGCCTGAGGGCAGAGAGGTAGGTGCTCACCATGAATGCTTTCTTCTCCTCCACAGTCTGGAAGCGGCCATGGCCAAATTTGGAGGTGGTGTCAATAAACTTGAGGTCAATCTTCTCCAGGGCCCGCCGTTTGGTCTGTACCAGCAAGGACTGTGGACCAAGAGAGCAAGGGTACAGAGCCACGCCTTTCTCTGTACCATCTTTGTTCACAGGTCCCTCACCTTAAGAGGGCAGAGGTCAACTCCATCTAAATCAGTCCTGGAATCAGGACACCCACCCACCCCAAACACCACCAACCAGCCACTACCAAGGGGCTTCCTCCTGCCACCAGGCAGATGAGAATACACTTAAGAACAGAAGCTAACAGCCGGGCCAGGCCAGACACGGGATTCCCTCCTCCCGGGCCTTCAAAGTCAGGAGTAGCATCCCTCCCCGCCTTCCCTCCCAACCCCCAAACAGAGCTCAACACCCCCTCCTCCAGCCTCACCTTGCGAAGGGTGAGCACTCGCTTCTTGGTTCCCACCACGCAGCCTTTGAGCATGACAAAGTCATTGGTCACTTCACCGTAGTGGACAAAGCCACCCTGGGACGGAGCAAGGCCATCAAAGGTCAGCACAGATCAAGTATGGGGCTGAAGACAGGTCTGACCGCGCACACAACACCCCCCGCCCCCGCAGGTCCTGGTGGTCCCACCACCTGACTAGAGCTGTTCTCAGAAGGAAGGCAGCGAGGAATACTTCCGCAGTCTGACTCGGGCGCCGCACCCAGCGCTCATTCCAGGGCATCATCACTGAACAGCTGGGCCTGCCACCCCGCTCCTCACGAGCCAGTCTCCCCCCAACCAATGACAAAGGGTGGACAGACAGCTGGATGCTGTACAGAGGTCCAGTTAACTGGCTGTAAAAATGGCCCCAGCCCCATAGGGGAGGCCTGGAACCGGAAATACCCCCCAGACCACATATCTGAGGCTTTGCATGGATAGCTCCCATTACTCACCAGAGGGTTGATGCTCTTGTCAGACAGATCATAATCAGTAGAGGCATTGTTCTTGATCAGTTTGCCATCCTTGATGAGGTAGCCCTGGCCAATCTTGTAGATCTGAAGGAGGAAATGAGCATAAATACTTGAGAACAAGAAACCTGGTCGGAGAGACAGCTCAGAGGCCTCTGGAGCTGGCTGGACGCAAGGACAGCCATTAGGGACAAATGATCCATCTTGGGGGTGGGCTAGCCGCCTACAAAGGGCTCTGGGAAAGCAGCTATGACCTTGGCCCTAGTGAGGGGGCGTCCCAGGCTCTGAGCAAAGAAAAGGTGGCTGGGCCTGAACTGAAAACAATGCCATCCAGTGAGACAACGGATGAGGCTTCTCCAAACACCGTGGAACAGGAGAGGGTAGACAAAGCTCACATCCTCAGCCCCGCCAAGGGTCAGCTGCACCAGAACCACATTCAAGGACGGCACTTTACTATCATGACACCCGAGAGTCAGAACTGTGCCACCAGACACGAGCAACTAAGTCCACGGGGTGCTCCGCCACAAATGGACCGATGGTGACGGGGACTGGAAACCCCAATTCCCAATATTGGGACCACCCTACCCCTCCTAGGGTTAAAGTCTCCACAGGACCCCCTTGGGCACCTCACCTTCTTGTTGATCTCGGTGCGGTGATGGTAGCCTTTCTGCCCGGCCCGAGCCACAGAGAAGGCCACCCGTGCGGGATGCCACGCCCCAATACAGGCAACCTTTCGCAGCCCTCGGTGGGTCTTACGGGGCAGCTTCTTGGTGTGCCAACGGCTGGTGACCCCTGGAATAGACACATGCTATTACTGAGGTGCCTGGCACCCATGCCATTGGCCCTTTCTTGCTATGAATGCCCAACTTGAGTTTGTGGTACTCTGTCCACAGAACATGCAATGCAACATGATTGCCGTGTCCTCTCCCTTCTTCTATCTCCATGCAAGCTTGAATACCAGCTGAGACACAACCCTTGAGTTATAATCAGCAAAGAACAGGCCTTGGAAAATTAGCCCTACTAGCACGTGATCATGCTCATTTGAGAGCATTCAGGAAGCCTCCCAGCGCGTTTTGCAGTGTGCTCAAAGCGTATGTATGTCATGCCCGGACCCACATGCTACCCCAGCCACCTGACCACAGCACTGTCCTCAGAAGGAAGGCAGCAAGGAATACTTCCGCAGTCTGACTCGGGCGCTGTGCCAGCGCTCATTCCAGGGCCTCATCACAGAACAGCTGGGCCTGACACCCCTCTCCCAGGTTAGCCACAGCAATGTGGGCCACTGCGAAGCTCACCTTTGTAGCCTTTGCCCTTGGTCACCCCAATGACATCAATCATCTCATCCTGCCCAAACACTTGGTTCACAGGGACCTGCTGCTCTAGCCTCTCTCGGGCCCAGTCCAGTTTTTCGGCCACAGTGCCTCCGTTCACCTGGATCTCCATGAGGTGGGCCTTCTTCTGGCGTAGAGGAAGCAGGCGCATCTAAAAGGAACAGATGCTTCAAGGTGAGAGGAACTCAGGCTGGGCACGACAGGCAACAGTTTTGCTTTCCAGTGTTATGACTCCCCACTGGGTACCATTCCCCTTTCAATTCTGGTGCCTGAATCAGGTCAGAATAAGCTGATCCTTGACAGACACACCACGCCCACCTTAAGACAGGCTGATTTAACCAGATCCTGGGACCAACCAGCCCAATGTTCCTGCTCGCTGTCCTTTTGGCCACTTCCCTTGGGGTACCTGCCCTGGTTTACCCTGGCCATCTACCTTGCTCTGTTAATTATCAGTAAGCCACTTATTTTGGGAGCAGGAGAACACTCTGAGTGTACAAGCTGTGATTAGGGAATGAATCTAAACAGATTTTAGAGCTGTCCAGTGTTATCCTACTGACCCATCTTCAGTAATGGACACACACCACAAATCTATGGTAATCTGCTCGCCACTAACCACACAGGACTACTGATCACTTAGAATCATGGGTATACACCCAGGATAATCGCCCAGACTGACAGCAAAGGCGGCACCCATTCCTACCCAGACAACCAAGAGCTAGTTCAGCTCACATGTCAGGTTTGAAGTGCGAACAGCCAGCATCTCAACACTATTATCAGTTAGGGGCTAGACAACGTTAGTTATGACTCACCGGTTCCTTCAACCAGTTCTCCTAAGATGGGATATGGTTTTCCCTATTTCAGAACCATCGGGGACACAGTGCCCTCTGCTGGCAACAAAAAAACCAACCCTATGTGAGGAGACCTGGATGCCTTCTCAAGCAGACAACTGTCCTTAATATGGCCCCAGGAACCCAGGCCTCAAGGCAGGGCACTGGCTGGACTGTGTTGCTTTTAAACAACCCCTTCCTCCTCCAGGAAATAAGCATAAAAACCTCAAAGTCTTACCATCCCTAAAATCCTGAGGCTTGACACAAAACCAGTGTGAGCTGAGGATCAACTCAGAAGGTAACTGAGCCCCCCAAAGGCCACAGGTGGTCATGTAGGTCATCACCTCCATTGACAATAAGCAGTGGGCGCTCACCTGGGTGTGGGCAATGACACGGATGACCTGGCAATACTTCTTCATGCTGCTGAAGTCCCTCTCCAGCTGCTTCTTGCCGTCTACATCCTGCCACTTCTTGCAGTATTTGGTGAAGGCCTTCTTCTTAGATTTATGCCTTCAGGAGCAGAGCAGAGTTGGGGAGGGGGCCAGGTGCCAGCCTTCATCACCCTCCAAGGGGTGAGCGGAAGACACGGGCACCGTGTGGGGACGGGGCTCATTGCCGGCTTCTAAGGAGCCTTTTCCACCGGCAAGCGGAGCCTGGATGGAGCTCATCGGGCAGAGCCGAGCGGAGCTGAGCAGAGGTCCACAAGATTAATGATGCAAGTCACATACATTCAGACACACAAGTTCTTGCTCCAGGTTATCCATTAACCAGACCACACACCGGGGGTGGTAGGGTCTGGGGGCATTGCTGCTATCCCTCAGCTTCTAAGCAGACTCAACACTTGCCAGCAACTCAGGAAATACTGAACTGACTCAAGGTAGCACCCACTAAGGTGGGCACTGAAGGAAATGTCTCAAGATGCTGCTCCCAGTGCAGCAAAGAATTGTTCTGTTCTGCAACTAAACCTGACACCAGAGCAGCTCCTCCCACCCCGGCTATGGAGCTGAGGCCCTGGCCCTCCTAGCCAGCCTCACCCAGGGCGAGGCGGCATCGGCTCCCTTACCAGTTCTTATAGAAGCGCCTTTTGCATTCATCACTGATATGCTCAGCGAAGATGGTCTTAAAGGTCCGGAGGCCTCGAGGTGTTTCCACGTAGCCCACAATGCCCACAATGACCATGGGCGGCGTCTCCACGATGGTCACAGCCTCCACAACTTCCTTCTTGTTCACCTCTGCAGACGAAGCAGGCAGTTAGACCTGAGCGGGCTGCCTCAAGTACCCGGCAGGAGGGCTGTCTTTTGGAAAAATGTCGCGTACCCTTCCAGGCCAGCAAAGCAAGTTGCTTCAGATGACAGGAAGGTTTGTGGGGAAGTCTGCACCGCAGCCCACACTCCCTCACTGCTGAATGCTCAGTCTGTGTGCATTGACCTTCTCAGCACAAAACTATCTGGACCCTATGCAGCCAAGTAACAGCCTGGTTTCGGTGCTGGTTTATCATAACCATCTCCAGAGACAAACTCCTTAGTACCTAGAAAATGCAAGAGTACTAAGTATAGTGAGGTAGTCATTCCTCGGCATAGACCCTTTCAACTGTCTGTTTACTGTGTTTCAATCACCAGCACTGTGTTCTACTTAGCGCCTTTTCTACTTCGAACTTCACAACCCAGGAACATGGGTAGTATTCAGGCGTTCAGGTGAGGCTCACAGTTCAGGGATGCCACTAAAATGTGAGTGGAGTCTCTATTTAACCCTCAATGGTCGCCACCTCCCAGGTTAGCATACTTCTCTGTGCTGCAGCTCTTGACAAATTTCCTCATCACGCTCCCCTACACCATTACCTCCCTCTGCCTAAATCAAGCAGTGCCAGCCACCTGAACCCTGGAAGCATTTATCGATCCTAAAATATATTTCCATTGTGATATCTAGAGGTTCTGTTGATCTCTCCAAAGCCTGCTCTCCTCTGAGAGCTTGGCCCCATCTAGTCAGTTCCCACCAACTCCTACCCTCCAATCAGCTGGGAAGATGCAGCATGTACTTACTGGACCCTGGCCTATCGACCTCCCTCACAATGTGGGTCATGCCAGCCTTGTAGCCGAGGAAGGCCGTGAGGTGCACGGGCTTGCAAGAGTCATCCTTGGGGAAGCTCTTCACCTTCCCGCGGTGCCGGCTGCTGCGCTTCCGAGGCAGAAAGCCCAGGGACCCATGCCTGGGAGCGGAGAACTTCCTGTGAGACTAGGAGAAAATGATCGATCAACGTTAGCACCTTCTAAGTAGCTCACGCCTCTTCATCCCCAGAGGCCTAGGTTCTAAGATTCCCAGCAATGCTGGATCCACACCAGGAACCCAGGTAACAGGCTTACGTGCTGGATTTACTTTTTTCGGGATCACACATCTAAAAGGCATTATTCAGCCAAATGAGTTAAACATGTATCTCAAACCCTCACCCTATAATTTAAAGAACATGAACCACCCACCTTTTCCTCTAAAGAGGACAAAGGCACACCAGGTAATGGCATTAAAAATCGCTTAACAAGCAGCCTTATGTGCGAGTCAGTTAAGATTCTGACCACGCACGTATATACGACAGAATGTTACTCAGCCATAAAGAACGAAACTGAGTTATTTGTAATGAGGTGGATGGACCTAGAGTCTGTCATACAGAATGAAGTCAGAAAAAGAAAAATACCGTATGCCAACGCACGTATATGGAATCTGAAAAGACAGTACTCATGAACCTAGTGGCAGGGCAGGAATAAAGACGCAGACGTAGAGAACGGACTTGACGACACGGGGGTGGGGAGAAGCTGGGACGAAGTGAGAGCGGCATGGACATATACACACTACCAAATGTAAAATGGATGGCTGGTGGAAAGCTGCCGCATAGCACAGGGAGATCAGCTCGGTGCTTTGTGACGACCTAGGATGGGATAAGAAGGGCGGGAGGGAGACGCAAGAGGGAGGGGATATGGGGACATATGTATACGTATAGCTGATTCACGTTGTCGTGCAGCAGAAACACAGCATTGTAAAGCAACTGTACTCCAATAAACATTCTGTCCACAATAGGGACTCCTGGTCAAACGGCTGGGTGGCAGGTAATGGTAGTAAAGGTTCCTCATGCTCCCAACGGGAGCTAACTGGCAAGTGGAGGCCACTAGAACTCGACAGAACCAAATCAGAACATGACAATCAGCACACAAGTCTCTGTCCGCCCGTCAATAAGTTCATCATCTCTGGTTTCTGATAACTCTAGAGGCCCAAGGAGTTGTACCAACCGTCCCAGACGTTTCAGAATGAGGATTCAACAACCCATACACAAAGCCTCCCCTGCCGCCCGCGGCCTGGATTTCTGCACCTCCCACTTTCACAACAGTGCCAAACGCTCCCACTCAAGGTCCTCCTGGCGAAAGTGCTCATGACTCGGATCTCGAATGCTGAGGCCGAGATCAAGGAATAATCCATGGCTTGAAGATTGTCGGGCCTGGGCCCCCCAACCCAGCTCCCGTGGCAAGGCCTCTCGCCAGCCGACCGGCAGGCCCAAAGCCAACCTCAAGCCTCGGACATTTTCAGAAAATACACCTGACTGTGGATTCTGCTGAGTGCCCCATGCTCCTAGAGCAGAACCCCGGCGCCGGGTGAGGCGAGATGGCGGGGATGTGCCGCGGATTCACTCATGCCGCCGCGACAGACAAGTAGAAGTCCGCCATGATGTCCCTTACCATCCTGCCGTCAGATGCTGCCGGTAGAGATCGTTCGACTCTCGGCGCGCGATATATAAATTCCAGTCTGGCTCCGCCCCTTCCGGCGTGCGAGCGCGCGCCCGCGGTAGACGTCGGGTCGGAGGACGGGTACGGGGTGCCGTTTCCACGCACGCTCGTCCTCTCCTTGCTTACGTCCCGACCGGGACGTCAGTTTCGTAGGCGGGATTTAGAGGCTCTAAGGCGAGCGGCTGAGTTCAAACTTAGTGAAAAGCCTCGGACTCGCCGGCAGAGAGTTGTCCTGAGGCGTCGGCCAGCAGCCAAATTTGATGAAACGGCTGTTACGGTGAAGGAAAATGGCTACGTCGGTTCTTTTCATATGAAATGCAGGTTTCATATGAAACCTCTGGAATTTAGTAACCCTGTTGGGGCTTCAGTTCTAAGGCGCTTTCCCACGTGGTATCCCGCTTCCGTCCCACACAGCGTTGTTGCCATTTTGCAGGCACATAGAAGTGGGACGAGTTGCACCGCTTCCGGCAGCTCGAAGTTGGAGAGGAAAGACAGGAACCCTGGTTTCCTGGCTCCCAACCCAGAGCCGCTTCCCGGTACCAGCTTGTCTTTAATGCTTCCTGATTTCGGGCCCCCTCCCTCAAGCCCCATCTCGGCTATTCCTCCGAGAATCTGGCTGTGGGGGCCCGTGCTTGGTTCTGAAGGTCTTAGGCGACGGAACCACCTCACCGTCTAGGGTCATGGGTCCAGCTGCCCGGCCTCACGGACCCTCGCCCTCCCTGCTTCCCAGACTCTGCATGAATCGCCCTTGCTGATGTCTGCTTGGGCTCGGGGTCACCTAGGTCCTAGGCGGCTCCTAGCGGCTCTCCCTGCCGCCAGGCTTGCCCCTCCAAATCTTTATAAGAATCGAATCCCTTTTTGTTACTTCCCATGACCCTCCCCACGCCCACCCCCAACCCTTGTTGTTTCCCGTGGATTAAGCCTTAACTTCTGAGCCTGCCAGCCAAGAAGCTGCCCTAACTAGCTACTCCAGCCTCTTCGCTGCAGGCGAATACACACACTTTTTCATAGATCACCACCTTCCACATCCATCCTACCCCGTCCTGTTCTTGGATTCTGGGGCTGACCATTGCTCACACCATTGTTAAAAAACATTCTCTCGGGCTTCCCTGCTGGCGCAGTGGTTGAGAGTCCTCCTGCCAATGCAGGGGACGCGGGTTCGTGCCCCGGTCCGGGAAGATCCCACATGCCGCGGATCGGCTGGGCCCGTGAGCCATGGCCGCTGAGCCTGCACGTCCGGAGCCTGTGCTCCGCAACGGGAGAGACCACAACAGTGAGAGGCCCGCGTACCGCAAAAAAACAGAACAAACAAACAAACAAACAAAAATTCTCTCATGTAACCCTCGCGCCATCCCCCAGTGGCAGTTCTGACAATCCTCAGCCCCTTACTGGAAATCTTTGGGGCCAGATACGTATCCAAATTCAGCATTCTTCATGTTTTAGATAATACCATGCAATATGGTGCACATACTATATATTATGTAATCATCCCTAAGCTGTTGAATGAAACACGTTAATTCTGCTAAGAAACGTGAATATTCACATGGAGTGGGATAAGTATAAATAGCCTCACAGTTAAAGGCTAACTTAGCTACCTAAAAAATTCAGGTTAGGGCTTCCCTGGTGGTGCAGTGGTTGAGAGTTCTCCTCCCGATGCAGGGAACACGGGTTAGTGCCCCGGTCCGGGAAGATGCCACATGCCGCGGAGCGGCTGGGGCCGTGAGCCATGGCCGCTGAACCTGCGCATCAGGAGCCTGTGCTCCATAACGGGAGAGGCCACAACAGTGAGAGGCCCGCGTACGGCAAAAAAAAAAAAAAAAAAAAATTCAGGTTAGTTTGGTTTTTGCCACCAAATGACTTAAGAAGATTTTTCTTAATGCCATTTACAGCAACATGGATTGACCTAGAGATTATCATACTGAGTGAAGTAAGTCAGAAAGAGAGAGACCAATACCGTGTGATACCACTTATATGTGGAATCTAAAATATGATACAATTGAACTTATTTACAAAACAGAAACGGATTCACAGACATAGAAAACAAACTTACAGTTACCAAAGAGGAAAGGGGGAGGGATGGATTTGGCGTTTGGGATTAGCAGATACAAACTACTATACATAAAATAGATAAACAAGGTGCTACTGTATAGCACAGGGAACTATATTCAATATCCTGTAATAAACCGTAATGAAAAAGAATATGAAAAAGATATAACTGAGTCATTTTGCTATACACCAGAAGCTGACACAACATTGTAAATCAACTATACTTCAATTTAAAAAAAGTTTTTTCATTTCAGAATTGCAGACAAGGAATTATGGCCCACATGACACAAAACTAAGTTCAGGCCAAGAGGAAATAGTTTGGCAAAAGTCACGCAATTAATAAAGGACAGAGCTCAAGTCTGACTGAGTCTAGGTTGGGTTTTCATGACATCAGACTCAGGGTTCAGTAGCCCTTTCACTGGAAAAGGAGCTCTGGGGTCCTGAGTCACTCATTCACTCAATAAGAAATTCTTCCTAAAGGCCTGCTCTGTGCCAGGTACTGCACCAGTCTGTGGGAATTTGTAAGAGAACAAGACAGCTACCATTGCAGACCAAATAAGACTATTTAAAATTGTGATGAGGGTTGAAAAAGATTTAACAAACAATGTTACCAAAGGTCCTGGGCAAACCATTCCCCCTAAAAGGAATTCCCTCTTTCCAGTCAGAGAAAAGAGAGTATCAACAGACCTGCACAGTCCTGCCAGTTGTGCACATAGCTCACTGGGTTATTGCCTTGGGCCTTATTTCCCCATCTGTCAAATGAGGGATTCATTCATTCACTCAGCAAATGTGTACTGAGCCTACTCTGCCTAAGAATGACATTAAAGGACCAACTAAAGGTGAGAATAAGGTAGAAGGGCTTTCACTACTCTATGGAAGCTGTCAGGTGGGTGACCTGGAAAAGGACACTGAGGGTAGACATGAAGGAGCAGAATCAGGAGATATTTAGGATAGCAGGATCTGGAGACTATTTGTATGAGTCATTGTGGGTGGGGGCAGGGAGAGGAAGCAGAGATGGCAGGAGTCAGGATATCCGTTTTGGAATATTGGATAGATAACGTTACTTTTAGAAAGGATAGATTAATTTATATATGTAGGTTTGGATTCAGTTATGGGGTTAACTGTATCTTTCCTTCTTCCAAGAACATGTCTAAGACTACACAGCGAGGTGTATGCAAATCAACAAGGAAAACAATAAGGGTCTTCCCTGGTGGTACAGTGGTTAGGAATCCGCCTGCCAATGCAGAGGACACTGGTTCGATCCCTGGTCTGGGAAGATCCCACATACCTAGGAGCAACGAAACCTGTGCACCACAATTTCTAAGCCTGTGCTCTAAAGCCCGCGAGCCACAACTACTGAAGCCGGCGCGCCTAGAGCCCATGCTCCGCAACAAGAGAATCCACCGCAATGAGAAACCCACGCACCACAACGAAGAGTAGCCCCCGCTCGCCGCAACTAGAGAAAGTCCACGCGCAGCAACTAAGACCCAACGCAGCCAAAAATTTTTTAAATATATAAAAAAATTATTTAAAAAGGAAAAGTCTAGGGCTTCCCTGGTGGCGCAGTGGTTGAGAGTCCGCCTGCCGATGCAGGGGACGCGGGTTCGTGCCCCGGTCCGGGAGGATCCCACATGCCGCGGAGCGGCTGGGCCCGTGAGCCATGGCCGCTGGGCCTGCGCGTCCGGAGCCTGTGCTCCGCAATGGGAGAGGCCACAGCAGTGAGAAGCCCGCGTACCGCAAAAAAAAAAAAAAAAAAAGGAAAAATATTTTTAAAAAAAAAAAAAAAAAGTAAGGACGTGAGTGAAGGGAAATAAGATGAAGCCAGAGAGGGATTGATGCCGAAAGCTCACCCTCTCTGTACACCCATGCCGAGTCGAATCTTGGAGACAGTTTTGGGTGAAGCAGAAAAGAATAGCTTTATTGCTTTGCCAGGCAAAAGGGGACACAGAGGGCTCCTGCCCTCGAAAACTATGTGTCCCAACCCAGGGTGGGGTTCTTAGTTGCTGCACGTGGGGTCTTCGTCACGGCTGGCGTGTGGGATCTAGTTCCCTGACCAGGGATCAGAGCCGGGCCCCCTGCATTGGGAGGGCGGAGTCTTAACCGCTGGACCACCAGGAAGTCCCTGGTCCCTTTAATCTTGCCTCAGGTGGTTTCTCGGCTGCTCCTCCCTTGATTCGCAACTGTTCGAATCTGCCCTTTGGAACTCAGGGAAGGTCAGGAAGGCTGTAGTCTTGCCTACAAGAAATGGGGGGACAAAAAGGCCTCCGTGCCCGGGAGCCCCACAGGGCCCCGGTTTCACGATCACACCCAAAACAAGCATTACAGAACTCTTGTTTGCGCTAGAGTAGCTCTCCCATTAGGTTTCAGGCCTCTGTCCAGCTAAGTAAGAAAGGTAAACATGATTAGTAACATGATTCGCAATA